AAAATGCAGTATGTTACTGGGTTATTATTTACAACTGAAGCTGGAAGGTGTATACATTTCATGAACTGCAAGTGGATATTTGTCTGAATTATTGGCTGGACATTGAATTTCACTTAAGCCAATGCCAAATTATGACATCATAACCTCATAAATATCTGGTCAATCTTGATAGATTTTGTTAGACTTTTTTTCTGTCAGAATAAAAAATAATTCTTGCTTTCATGAAGGAAACTATCATGGAAACAGTGCCTTAAACCAGGATATATGATTCAAGATGAAATTCTAAATTATGATGTGGACCTTTTGGGGGCAATATTAGAATATGATATTTATTAGATTATCAAGAAACTTTGCTAAAGATCAGGGGAAAAAAAGGCCAAAATATCAAAACGAAGAAGCTATCCTCTTAGTCTTTAGCCTTTCTACAGTACCATGAAGTAACACTGGAATCTGAAGGGCACATAAAGATAATTAGTTCCATTTTAGTCAAATTCAAGAAAGCTTTATTGAATTCTTGTTGTGTGTCAAGCATTGACTAAGGGATATGAAGATAAACATTACAGAACCTCTGCTTTGAGATGGGGTTCTTACAAGTGGGAGAGAATCAAGGAAAGTACAATTCAGTGAATACCAGGGGAAAGAAGTGTAGAGGATCATACAGAAGTACAGGGAACCTTTTAGTGAGACTGAGGAGGTGGGACTAAAACTGCAGGTAAACCTTTCTGGAGAATATGATGGGGTGAAGGAAGAGGAAGGTGTAGTCAGGGGAAGAAAAAGAAGTGGGAATAACATCACTGCAGGCACATATTCCTAGTTTTCATGGAATGCTAAAGATTGCAGACATGTTGATGCCACACAGACCAACAGGATAAATGACAAGTCTTCAAATTATGGATTTTATACATTTCTTATGGCCTCAAACCAAGCAAATGACCAAACACTTAACCAACCAACTAACCAACCAAAAATTACGGCAAAACTAGTGATAGCAAGAAAAATTAATAAATCAATGAGTCTGGGCTGTTTCTATATGTTATGTCTCATTGCTGTCAAGTCAATTCGACTCATAATGACCCGTCCTTGGGTTTCCGAGATGGTATCTCTATGAGAGTAGATTGCCCCATCTTCCTTCCAAGGAGTGACTGGTGGGTTTGAACTCCCAGCCTTCTGGTTAGCAGTCAAATGCCTTAGGCACTACACCACCAGAGCTCCTGTATGTTATTGTGTGTCAAGATGGATAATAATAACTTAGCATAAATGTGACCTTGAAGATTTGATTTTTGAATAAAAAAATAAGTGAACAAATTAATGAATCAGTGAATTAACTAAGATGAGATACCAAGTGAAGCTGCCTGCATTTGAATGTAAAAATAATGAAGAAAATAAATTAATAATATTATATCCACAATTACCACTAAGTGAAAATCTTCCTTAAATCATGTAGATAACTCATCTTTACACTGTGTAAACAGAACTCATATTTATACATTTTCTAAATGTTCTTCCTTTTACTGTCTTATCATTGGTCTTAATTCATGATAGAAATTTCTCTATGAGGTTTCCATATGCTATGGCTAAAAGAATGTAAGAAGGTATTTAATGTAAATTGTGAGTGGAAGACATGCTCTGTGAAATCCAAACTTGAACATTCAAACTGAGTTATTGTGATTCTTTCAATACAAGACAAGCAAATAAGTTTAGAATTTTAAAGCATAAAATTTAACATTTACAGTGTTAAATCTTAGGGCTCCCAACCAATTAACCAACCAACCAACCAACCAACCAAAGAAACATGACTAAAATGGTTATAGTCTACTTCTTTATGGTTATTCCTATGTTTTTTATATGTTCTTCCACTGTATACATAGCATATTCTGTGATGATATTGAGACTTGTGCACAGACTTGCACATGTTGAAAGAAACATTATTTTCATCTTTCTAGATAAAATAAGCTGTACAGCAAAAGAAAAGTGTTTATAAAGATACAAATAATATATCCTGTGCCTATAAATTTTTATGCAATTTCCCTCAGTATTTTTCCATTTAACTCCATGGGTAGAGTTTCAAGATGGGAAGATATATGGATAAATAGATAGACTGATAGATATAAGAAATAATTGATGTAAATAAAATATTTTAATGGAGAAAAGTAAGGTAGTATGTTATATTATAGAATAGTAATGTCTGGGGAAGAAAAAAAGTCCTTCTTCTCAAGTTATTCTTTCAGTTTTCTTTTTGCAAGTATCTTCTAAATTATTCAGATTCTCCATAATTTCTTTCTACCATGTTGCCAGTATTGTCAGCATAGTTTTGGATAAAACAAAAACAAACTAAACAAAGAAAAAAACTAACATTTATTGTGTTCTTCCTTTGTATTGCTTACTCACAGGAGCTCTGGTAACATAGTGCCTAAGGCACTTGACTGCTAACCAGAAGGCTGGCGGTTCAAACCCACCAGCCACTCCTCGGAAGCAAGATGGGGCAATCTACTTCTGTAGTGATAGTGCCTCGGAAACCCAAGGAGGGGTCGCTATGAGTCGGGTCCGACTCGATAGCACATAACAACAACAATAACATTGTCGTTGTACTCACTTCTTTATATATAAAATCTCACTTAATCCTCTTTATTAGTCTATTAGGCTTATACTGGGAACAGTGTCTATAACATGATGAGGAAACTGCTGCACAGACCAGGAAGTCACTTGTACAAACTAATAATGGCAGAGCCAGGGCCATAACCCAGGCAGTCAGAATTTACAACACAGGCTCATAACCATTGTGCTATCTGCTTGACTCTCCAAATGACACCATATTAAGTAAGGTATGTGGCTAAACATAACATGATCAGGTTTTCTGCAGTGACCAAGGAATGTTACAACACAATCTCACTTCCTGTTGTGTCACATCCCATTGAAAGAGGGTTTCTTGACCTTAAAATTCAGATGATGCTTGGCTGGTTCAATAGCTTGTTTGGAATTTTGTACCTTTTCTACATGAGTGTAAACTAGGAAAAGTAAAAACACATGGTTTTAGATGCAACAGTAAAGAATAATCTAAGGATGTGTCTACGTAACACTGATTTAATCCAATTTGCCTCTTCACATTTTCTTTCACTGTGTTGAAGTATCCTGAATGCTTGGCTCTGTGCTACTTAAAGTAGAATGGGAGTTTCAATTCATGATGGAATAACTGTATCCAGTCAAGAATATGAATGCAAGTATAATTAGACTATGTCAAATATGAATTTTCACTCTAATTTAATGCTAGTCATTCATTATAGCCTCCATTGATACTGTTCTTTGTGGATGTATTCCTTAGCCTTAGTAGCATACTAAGTATTGTGCTTTAAGGCAGACAGAATATTTTTCACAATACTTCCTGAATATAAGATTATGTAAAGCTACTATAAAATATAGCTAACAGTACAGATTTTAAAAACAATACCATTGTTAAACACAATACAATAAATGATTTTAACAAATATTGTGTAACTTGCTTGTGATGTGTGGTATTCTAGTATTGCTTTGTAAAAGATTAATTTCCTTCAGAAGAAGGAAATGACACCCTATTATGTAATTTCTTCTATTTCTGGCTGAAGGGACTGGTTCATCTCTGAGACACTGAATTGTGACCTAAGTTGACCTAGCAGTTCTTTGGTTCTTCTATATCACAAACAAACAATCAATCTGTGAAGTTTTATTTCCATGTAAACAATATTTTTCAGAAGAAACACTTTCAAACTACTCTTGGTATATTTGATCACTGTATATAGTTCAAAATTGGTGACTTTTCCTCTTCTAATTTAACAAAATATGTCCTACCTCCCATTCTCCCTTGTGAAATTATATATATATATATCTCCAAGATAGATCACTAACTTCATACAATTATATAAAGCATGTAATTGTATGAAGTCAGTGATCTATCTTAGAAATATATGCTCTCTCGACAAATATTTCTTGATTTAGTCTACCATGTATTATGTATATGTGTTTAAGTATTTATTTAGAAACTGTTCTTTACTCTTTCTTCTATGTTATTGTTGTTGTTATGTGCCGTCAAGTTGGACCCGACTCATAGCAACCACTCCTTTGGTTTCCGAGGCAGTATCACTATGGAAGTAGATTGCTCCATCTTCCTTCTGGGGAGTGGCTGGTGGGTTTGAACCGCCAGTCTTCTGGTTAGCAGTCAAGTGCTTCTCCCAGTATTATACACACACATATTGGATGAGCAAGTGGATAACTGTACTAGGCTTAATTCTCTCCTTGTGATCCAATCATGTCACAGGGTTGAGAAGAGTTTGCCTTGCTACACCTCACTTTTCTTGTAAAGCTGCTGTTGCAGCTATGCTCTGTGTGGTAACTGGTAAGAAGACACCACGACAGGCTATTGGTTCTCAAGAGGAGGAGGTTTTGCTCCCCAGGGAACATTTGCCAATGTCTAGAGGTATTTTAGGAGCTCTGGTGGTGTAGTACCTAAGGCATTTGACTCCTAACCAGAGGCTGGCTGTTCAAACCCACCAGCCACTCCTCAGAAGGAAGGTTGGGCAATCTACTTCCATAGTGACACTGCCTTGGAAACCCAGGGAGGGGTCGTTATGAGTTGGATCCAACTCCATGGTGTGAGTTTTTTTTTTTTTTTTTAAGAGGTATTTTTGGTTGTCACAACTGGGAGGGAATGCTATTGATATCTAGTGGGTAGAAGTCTGGGATGCTGTTAAACATCTGACAATGGACAGGTCAGCCCCCCATAATAGAGTGTTATCCAGGCTAGAGTTCATTAGTGTAGAGAACACTTAAGTTTGAACTGACAACCTTCTGGTTAGCAGTCAAATGCCTTAGGCACTACACCACCAGAGCGCCTTAGTTCTGAACTACACTAATGGTAAAAATAAAGGACAGCTGATCTTGATATTTTCCATAACTATCTCTGTGGGACTTTTCCAGGAAAAAACTTATAACTAGTTAAACAAACCAACAAACAAACAAAACCAACTTACAATAAATGGTGGGCATAATGATGTCACTTTCCAACTCACTGACAGGGTTCTTCACCAGGCAACTATAATTTCCAATGTCTCCTTTAGTCACTGGAGTAATATGAAGAGTGTTGTTTTGAAGAGAGAAAGAATAAGTGGAGCTGGTGTAGAGAGGCCTCCCATTTTTCAGCCACTGGTAAACTAGCCGGGTACCACCTTCCACCAGGCATGTCAGGGTCATGTTCTCCACATACTCCACTGCCCCAGAGGAAGGATGAATCTGCACTACTGGTTTTGTGACAGGATCTGCAATATTAAGAGAAAAATAAATACTTTTGGCCACCAATAGAATTAAAATAAAACTCTTTCAAATATTGAAATCTTTTAAATATTGACTATTTCAATGTTTGAATATTTTCAATATTGAAATCTTTCAAATATTGAAATGATTGCAAAGTTTTACACTTTGCAAATGTAGGCAGTTTAGGCAATAATTAAAGAACTGAATAAAGAGGCATGGATAATGCAAAATGACAAAATATATTGTTGTTGTTGTTATGTGCCTTGGAGTCAGACCTGACTCATAGTGACCCCTCTTTGGGTTTCCGAGGCAGTATC